ACTCACATACACACACACACTCACTCACTCACAGACACAGACACACACACTCACACACACACACACACTCAAACACAAACATACATACAAACACACACGCACGCACGCACGCACACACACGCACACACACACACTCTCAAACACAAACATACAAACACACACACACACACTCTCAAACACAAACATACACACACACTCTCAAACACACTCACTCACTCGCAGACACACACTCTCAAACACAAACATACAAACACACACACACACACTCTCAAACACAAACATACACACACACTCTCAAACACACTCACTCACTCGCAGACACACACTCTCAAACACAAACATACAAACACACACACACACACTCTCAAACACAAACATACACACACACTCTCAAACACACTCACTCACTCGCAGACACACACTCTCAAACACAAACATACAAACACACACACACACACTCTCAAACACAAACATACACACACACTCTCAAACACACTCACTCACTCGCAGACACACACTCTCAAACACAAACATACAAACACACACACACACACTCTCAAACACAAACATACACACACACTCTCAAACACACTCACTCACTCGCAGACACACACTCTCAAACACAAACATACAAACACACACACACACACACACACTCACTCACACACAAACATACAAACACACACACAACATCAAAGCAAGTACAGTACAGATGACACCGCTCATATTCTAACACTGACTCATGACACAGATTCCTCCACAGCACACGGATGAGAGTGAAAGGGGAAAATGTGTTTAAATGCCATGAAAACAATATCATACAAACACACACACAACATCAAAGCAAGTACAGTACAGATGACAACACTGACTCATGACACAGATTCCTCCACAGCACACGGATGAGAGTGAAAGGGGAAAATGTGTTTAAATGCCATGAAAACAATATCATTAGTCATGACGCAGGCTCGGTTTTTTAATGTCAAATATATTTTCTGATTTTTGTCTTTTGATTTGGTGGTGATATGAGAGTCGTACAAGATTTTGTGATGTCAATGAATCAATGCGAGTTCATGTTCATGCATATATGTGTGTGTGTGTGTGTGTGTGTGTGTGTGTGTGTGTCAGTGTCCTCATTAAAGCACTGTGGAGTGTTTAGTTCTTGGTTCAGTTGAATGCGACTCTGTTCACGGCTGTTAAGCTGCTTATTTCTGCACTAAATCCTGTTTGAGACATTTTCTGCTGTTAACACTAAACCTGCTGCAGGAGACACACACACACACACACTCACACACTCACTCACACACACTCACACACACACACACACACACACACTCACTCACTCACACACTCACACACACACAATATCAGGAATCCCCATCACTGATAACCAACACATTAACACACAAGCAGAGCTCGACCGATAACCGATATCTCCAACCGATATTTACACTTTCATATATTGTATATTAGTCGTCTGATAACAGATCTACTGATGACTGACTCGGCTTGTTATGCATTTAAAGAATAAAACCCAACCACAGTATTTAAGCAAGGAATCGTTAAATAACCTTCTACTAAAAACTTCATTAATATCGGACATTTTTTCCAATGTTGTTATAATTAAACTAAAGCTTAGAGTAAAATTATTAAAAACCACTGTCTTAATTGAAATAGAAATTTAAACCAAAACTTAATTTAGATATAATGCCTTCACAACTGAAATGAAAATAAGTTAAGTTAAATGGGAATATTTATTTAAAACAATTTATAGAACAGAAAATAAATACATTAACTTCTATTAAAAACTTTACGAATATCAGTCATTTTTTCCAATGTTTTTATTATTACATAAAACTTCAACTAAAATGATTAAAATCCGATGATAACTGAAATAAAAAATTAAACCGAAACTTAAATTAGATATAAAGCCTTCACGACAAACTGAATTTAAACACTTATTTAAATTTATAGAACAGAAAATTAAAATACTCAATATAAAATTAAGTAATTAATTTTAAAATACGTTTAACAAAAGCACTAAAAAGGCTACTTAAAAATAAATACTATAATAGTATATAAATAGTACTTAATAATGATTTTTAAAAAATATGTGTAGCTTAATTAGCTAAATATGTGTGTATTTACGCAGGAAATATTATATATCAGTAATATTTAACTACACAGATATATTTAATTACAACGACATTTTAAAAGCTGCATAAATAATAATGATACATTCTATACTTTTATACAGTTGTAGTCTCGCGGTCACTTCTTTTTATTTTATTTGATTACTTTAGCATTATTTATAGTTTCAAAAAGCAGAAATAAAAGTGAAACATGCTGACTGGTCATAAAGACATAAAACAATATTCATGTTCTACGACAGCATGTGTGCATGTGTTAAATGAGCTTGTATTTGCATGTTTCCAGCGCTTCTGACATCGACCGGCTAAGAGTATCGGTTGCATCGGCTGGCGGACTCACCTGTGTCCAGCGCCGCAGGTGTGCTGCTGCAGGTGTTGCTGTGGTTCTGTCGGAGCTCGCGGAAGAAGGTGGCTACTTAATATAGCAAAAATGATTCTTTAGTACTTCTTAAGATAAACTAAAGTGCGCTCGACTGTGCTACTCTGAGACACGGTGAATATGAACCAAAATGTGCTTTTAACACACTCTCTGTGTATTTAGTCTCCACTTGTAGTACACATCTTTCACACACTAGTAGCCTACACTCAAGTGTACTACAAGTGGTATGGTACCTTTACCCCTTTTGATTGTTTTTTTAAATTTTCTAATTAATTTTATCATCTAAACATTTTTAGAAATTCTTTGCATTTTTAAGCTACACATGAGCCACACCAAAAGACTGTAAATCAATGTTTTCAAATAAAATCAATTAATTTAACTTCCGTGAACTTTCAGATGAAAACGATGAGTTTTTCATGCTGCAGTGGTTCATCAAGAGACGCACGTATTCATGATTATAAACAATATTCAGTCCAAAAGTGTGTGAGATATACGGGAAAAAAAACTGAAAATTATTTAATATAATTTAACAAAAGTATTTTTGACACTAATGGTGTTCCATACATACCTCGCAAACATTTCACTGGTTACATCTCTTAAACAAATAATAGTAAAAATAGTCAAACAAAAAAACAAAATTGAGGGTCTAAATACTGTGCTTTTTTTTTTTTTAGAAATGTTTAAGTTTGTTTTGCGTGTCAGAACAGATGTGTGTGTGCGTCTGTGTTTGTCCATCTGCCAGTCATCAGTGACCTGCGGAGACACGTCTGACACACACACACAGACACACACTCACACACACACACACACACACACACACACACACACACACTCACTCACACTCACACACACACACACTCTCACACACACACACACACACACACACACTCTCATTCACTCTCTCTCACACACACACACACACTCATCAGTCACTGTGATTCATTAGAGAGGATCCTCACAGTCTGCTGTGTTTGATGACGCCGCTCTCTGATCTCAGTTTTACTGTAAGCAGTATGCATTTCTCTGTAAATCATTTGTGAAACTATCTTTGCGTAAATATCACTTTCAATATGACAAAGTTGCGTAAGATCCGTCTGACAAATGATTGACACAGAAACCGTTGGTGCTTCAGGATCGATCGCAAGAACTAAACTAAATACAGTCCTTCGCTTGAATTACGTTCACGCCTGATTCATTTTCTGTAGAGTTCAAGTTTCCATGTGTCAATTTTCTTAATTTTATAGTTAAATTGATTCTTAATAATTGTTTAGTATGTAATCAATTAATGCTATTAATATAAAATAATAAAATATATTAGTATAGTGTATTAATATAATTAACATATGATTTTATTTAATTAATTAATTAACAATATACAAACCAAAATAACAACATGATATCACAAATCAATTCAACTTTCCCGCTCCCCTGCGGTCTCGTTAAAATGGGGTACATAGTGGATAGAAACGTAAATAAATGTAAACATTAATGGTTAAATATTTAAATTCATATTTAATAATTGTTTAATATATAATAAATCGGTGGTAATAATGTTAAATATATTGTTATTGAGTGTGTGTGAAATGCTGTATTTCCTCACACATCTGTCAGATATAATCGTGACGACTGTGACTCCGGCAGGCCTGTGATGTGTGTTCGGTCTCGTTCTCCAGGTGGCCATAAAGTCGATCCGTAAGGAGAAGATCCGGGACGAGCAGGATCTGATGCACATCCGGCGCGAGATCGAGATCATGTCGTCTCTGGCTCATCCGCACATCATCAGCATCCACGAAGGTACGGATCCACAGAGCGCTCGGATCCAGACAGACAGACGCGTCAGTGTGCTCCACCGCTGAGAGTGATGTGCCTGTGTGTTTCAGTGTTCGAGAACAAGGAGAAGATCGTGATCGTGATGGAGTACGCCAGTAAAGGAGATCTGTACGACTACATCTGCGACAAACAGCGCGTCTCTGAGAGCCAGGCCAGGCATTTCTTCAGACAGATCGTCTCTGCCGTACACTACTGCCACCGGGTCAGAACACACATTTCTTTCTTTCTAATCCAAGCGTTAAAACCTGTTCTGTTTCTATAGGGTTGTGTGTGTTCTATAACATAATGCAATGTTTTGATGCTTGGTTTCAGTGCATTGAAGCTTTAAGGGTTGAGGATGCTATTAAATACATTTGAAGTGGATCGAAAAAGTTCAACGTTGTTCGTAAGACAAGAACGCATTTTGGTTTTGATCCACTTCGAATCTCACTTAAAAGTGAAACGTAGGTATAATAATATCAGCCGTCATAATTGATCTGAAATTGAATAAAAGTGAACTGAAATTAAAATATATATAAAGAAACATTTAGTTGTACTAAATTAACTAAAACGGAAATACAAACGGATAAAAACTAAATGACAAAAAATGCAACAAAATTACAAACTTAAACGTAAAAATTAAAAATTGAACTAACGTTGTAAATACTAGTAAATACTAATAATACTAGAATAGCACTGCTGTAATTTCTATTCTTTAATGTCTGAGGTTACGGAGATAAATTCAAATGTTAAGGAATTAATTTATTCCAGTTATCGCTTATTTTGCAACGTTTCTAAATTCTGTTTAGTTTAAGTTGAAGTACTAAAATAGCTAAAACTATAAAGACAACAAACTTATGAACTTAAACGTCAAAATTAAAACGTAAAACTGAAAATAAAAAAATAAACATAATAATTAAAAACTATATTATCGTGTTACGTGACGTTTTAAAATAACACTGCTGTCATTTCTATTGATTAATGTCCACGGTAAATGAAATAAATTAAAATATTTTAAAAAACAAAACAGATTTTTTTGTCTAAGTACTAAGACTAAAATAAAAATTATTATGTAGATAAATTTTAAAAAAAGACAATCACAACAAAAATACAACTTGAAAGCTTTTTAAAAATTGCATTTATTTTTATTTACCAATTCAAAATAATAAAAAGCTACAACGCTACAGTAATGATACAATTTTGATTTGATTGACCAGTTTATCAGTCATTCAATCCTGTGCCATCTCGTCTACCGTAGCTATAACCGCTATAACACTAACACATTTAGCTTGTTATGGGTGCAGTTTTAGAGGTTTAGTTTAGCAGATATCTGTCGACTGCTGAGGTCAGCCAGACTAGATATTAGTCAGACGTCATGTGAGCATTTCTCACAGTCAGGAGAACTATGGGAAGGCTCTGGGGTTGCATAACGCGCATCAGCCTCCGCATGACTGCGCAAGTTTCACGCAGCGCACACTACCAAACACAGCGAGAGCTCCGAGAGCAACCCTCGGCTGGAAGCGTCTTGGAGAGTCGCAGGCGTGGGTTAAATGAGGCTTTGCCCTCCTGCAGAGAAACACAATCACGAAAGACTCGCATTCCAGCTCTGACGCGAGTCTGTATTTAGAGATCGAGGGTTGGGGAATCAGAGGAAATCTGGGGATTTTCAGGAAAGTCTTTAAGAGTGAAACTGACATTTTAAAACAAAGTGGCGTCGTCGATCATTCATTAAAGGGAAGGTTACGGATTACTAGCTACCGCATTTAAAATGTAACAAGTAGTGTAACTTTCCAGTTGCTTTATTAATGTCACTGATAACTTTTCTACATTTCTAACGAATGTTTTCAACGGTTAATCATTTTGAAACATTAAGTAGCACTGATTACTGTCAGACGTTCTGAGGTTAAATACAGAGTTTGATAGCTATGATACTGGTTTTGGAATCAAATCTTTGCATGGCTATAGTGAGAAACACTGGCATCTAACAATCTAGCCTTGGAAAAACTGTTATATTATCTTATAAAATAAAGCATAGGTAAACCCAAATGTGACCATGGACCACAAAACCAGTCAAGGGTCAATTTTGTGAAATTGAGGTTCATGCATCATCTGGAAGCTGAATAAATAAGCTTTCCATTGATGTATGGTTTGTTAGGATCGCACAATATTTGAAAATCTGGAATCTGAGGGTGCAAAAAAATCTAAATATTGAGAAAATCATCTTTAAAGTTGTTCAAATGAAGTTCTTAGCAATGCATATTACTAATCAAACATTAAGTTTTGATATATTTACGGTAGGACATTTACTAAATATCTTCATGGAACATGATCTTTACTTAATATCCTAATGATTTTTGGCATAAAAGAGAAATGTATAATTGTGACCCATACAATGTATTGTTGGCTATTGCTACAAATATCCCCCAGCGACTCAACACTGCTTCTGTGCTCCAGGGACACGAATAGGAAATAAACTGTGTCCTAAAATAAGTTTCATATTTTAGAGCAGTCAATGCAATTTATGAAAGAAGTCAATTAAATCTGTATGTGTGTGTGAAAAAAATCAGATGTAACCCCCTTTGTAATCGTTCACATTTTCAAAAGTAACTAAATTTAATTAATTTACACTGGGGATAGTTGACTCAAAAATGAAAAATCTGTCTTTAATTACTCGCCCAAACCCGTAAGACCTTCGTTCAACTTCAGAACACATTGTTGAATGAAGTCGTTATTTTTGTTTTCTTTGCGCACAAAAAGTATTCTCGTAGCTCCGTAAATTACGGTCAAATATCCCCCAGCGACTTAACACTGCTTCTGTGCTCCAGGGACACGAATAGGAAATAAACTGTGTCCTAAAATAACTTTCATATTTTAGAGCAGTCAATGCAATTTATGAAAGAAGTCAATTAAATCTGTATGTGTGTGTGAAAAAAAATCAGATGTAACCCCCTTTGTAATCGTTCACATTTTCAAAAGTAACTAATTTAATTAATTTAACACTGGGGATAGTTGACTCAAAAATGAAAAATCTGTCTTTAATTACTCGCCCAAACCCGTAAGACCTTCGTTCAACTTCAGAACACATTGTTGAATGAAGTCGTTATTTTTGTTTTCTTTGCGCACAAAAAGTATTCTCGTAGCTCCGTAAATTACGGTTGAACCAGTGATGTCACATGGACTATTTTAACGACGTCCTTACTGCGTTTCTGGGCTATATCTATTTAGAATTTAAAGTCGGATCAGATTTACAAAAATCGACGGGTGTGGTTTCTAAATATCTCCGTTTTTCCAACAGAACGGTATTGTTCATCGCGACCTGAAGTTGGAGAACATCTTGCTGGACGACAACGGCAATATAAAGGTAAGTTCGGGA